CGACCCTTATCCACTCGCATGGGTGGCAGGGTTGTAGAAATTTTGGTGTTGCCCAGAACCCCCCCCCCCACACACACCTGCCTAAGGCTCTGGGAGGGGGGTTGGGTGGGGGGAGGAGGTCTGGGGTGCAGGTCCTGGGCTGGGGATTAGGGTGCAGGAGGGGTGCAGGGTGCAGGTTCTGGGATAGAGTTTGGGTGCTGGGTGCAGGCTCCAGGCTGGGGCAGGGGGTGGGTGTGCAGGAGGGGGTGAGGGGTGCAGGCTCTGGGATGGAGTTTGGGGGTGGGAGGCAGTGCAAAGGGAGGGGGTGCAGGCTTTGGGAGGGAGTTTGAGGGCAGGAGGGGGGTGTGGGGAGGGGGTTTGGGGATAGGAGGGGATGCAGGGGTGAGGGCTGTGGGTCTGAGGATGAGGGGTTCATGATGCAGGAGGGGGCCCAGGGATGGAGCAGAGGATTAGGGTGCGGGGGGATGAGGGCTGGGGCTGAGGGGTTTGGGATGTTGGAGAGGCTCAGGGCTAGGGTGGAAGGGCAGGGTAAGGGCAGCCTGTCTTCCCATTACTAGATGGGGGACACTAGGACCTGGGGGCAGCAGACAAGGGAGAGGCAGGCGGGGGGGGGTCCACGGGGGGACGGGACGCAAGGAGGGGGGCTGGCAGGTGGAGGCCGGGGACCCATCCAACACTCCCCCGCTCCCTGACTGCCCCCCCCCTTACCATTCTGGCTCCACGTGTTTGCAAAATACTCTGCCCGGTGGGTCGGTTTGTGTGTTACACAGGGCTGCAGACAGAGGGGGGGGGAGCAGGGGAGGGCTCTGGCTGCTGGAGGCCAATGGGAGCGGGTCAGTTGGCCCAGCTGCCCAATCAGCAGCCGCACTCTGCATGGAAGGGAGGGAGGGAGGCGAGGGAGAAAAAAACCCCGGACATTTTAACCTTGTTACCAATTCCTCCCGGACGGCTATTTAGAGACGCAAAAGCCAGACATGTCCAGGGAAATACGGACGGATGGTAACCCTAGACTAATCCCCAGACAGCTTTTTGCCCCAGATCCCTAAATGGCCCCCTCAAGGATTGAACTCACAACCCTGGGTTTAGCAGGCCAATGCTCAAACCACTGAGCTATCCCTCTCCCTAAGAAAGTAGTTTTTCACCCCAGCTGGGACATGAACCCACAATCTCTGGCTTAGGAAGCTATTGCCTTATCCATTAGGCCACTGGGCCTTAGCTTGGCCCCAGTCTGTCTGACCCAGGCAATTCCAGCTCACACGGAGGACGGGACCGTCCTGGCCTCCTGAGTCCCTGATTAGCCTGCCCACCCTGTCAATCAGGCTGACCTGGAGCATTGGCCTCTCCCCATTGCCCCTGGGGACTCTCAGTCTCAGGGTCCTGATTTCCCATTGACCCTTCCCCTTTCTTTTGGTACTGGTCAACCAAAAATCCCACTAAGTTTTAGTAGGGGGACAGTTAGTCCCTTTTGGGACTTTGTCCCCAGCACGGGGCTTGCCCCATTCCCAGGGATCCCAGCCGTCTGCCATAGACCTATGCCGGTCAGTGAGCCCTGCACCAGCTGTCTGAGGTGTCTGGAGGAATCGCACATCAAAGAGAAGTGCCAGATCTGTCAGGGCTTCACGGCGCACTCGGAAGAACAGGGCCGTTCATCTCCAAGCCCTTCTCCCGGAGGCAACTCTCAGACGGGCCTCAGAACCCTCCCACTCCGACTCAGCGCTGAGTCCCTCTGCCTACGGCGAGCCCCACCAGCACCGGGTTCCTCCCGGCAGTGGCGTAGCCAGGTGGAGGGAACAGGGAGATATACCTATCTCATAGAGCTGGAAGGGACCCCGAAAGGTCATCGAGTCCAGCCCCCTGCCTTCACTAGCAGGACCAAGTACTGATTTTGCCCCAGATCCCTAAGTGGCCCCCTCAAGGATTGAACTCACAACCCTGGGTTTAGTAGGCCAATGCTCAAACCACTGAGCAATAAAAAAAATAGGTGCCATCCGCTGCGGCGCTTTTACTCACCTGGCAGCGCTCCGGGTCTTCGGCGGCGGGACCTTCACTCGCTCCGGGTGTCTTCGGCAGCACTGAAGGTCCCGCCACCGAAGACCCGGAGCGAGTGAAGGGCCCGCCGCCGAAGACCTGGAGCGCCACCGGGTGAGTAAAATAAAAGCGCCACAGCAGGTGGCGCTTTTTTTTTTTTATTGCTCCCCTGGGTGAGTACAAAGGCACCAGGAAATTGACAAGGCGCCACTTGTGCTCAGTGGGGGAGTGGCTGCTCCCCCTGCTGCCCCCCTAGCTACGCTACTGCCTCCCGGCACTGCTCACCATTGCCGGGGCCACCACAGCGATAAAACCAGCCAGCAAGCGTTGCTGGGGAGACACGGTGGTAACACCTGGGACTCTGGACGGCAAGCGTTGCTGGGGAGACACGTTGCTAACATTTGGGCCTCCGGCCGGCAGGCGTTGCTGGGGAGACACGGGGCTAACACCTGGGACTCCGGACGACAGGCGTTGCTAGGGAGACATGGGGCTAACACCTGGGACTCCGGACGGCAGGCGTTGCTGGGGGGACACGGTGCTAACACCTGGGACTCCAGCCGCATAGATTCTCCGGCCCTCAGCGGCAGAGCCACGGGCTTTAAATGCTGCTGCCCCTCCCCAGCCCCCTCGGCTGCCCAGCGAGGCCCTGCGCATTGCTCAGGCGGCCGTCGGCAGGCATTCTGAGGGCGTGCCTGAGGCCGGAGTTACAGTCTCATCCCAGGATCTATCCCCCCGTTTGTTTCGGGACCGCCTTTCTCCCTTTCTCCTGCATGGGCCAAGGTCACCTCAGGCCGCTGGGTGCTCAACACCATAACAGTTGGCTATACCCTGGAGTTTTCCTCCATCTCCCCCTCACACCCCACTTCCCTGGCCCTCTTCAGGGACCCTTCTCACAAGCAGCTCCTCATCCAGGAGGGGAATTCCCTCCTATGTCTGGGGGCCAGGGAGGAGGTTCCCCTAGACATTAGGGGAAAAGGGTTTTACTCCCGGCATTTCCTAATCCCAAAGGCCAAGGGGGGCCTCAGACCCATCCTAGGCCTGTGTCGCCTCAACAGGTATCTGAAGATGTCAAAGTTCTGCCTGGTCTCTCTGGCTCCGGGAGGCTGGTACGCTGCTCTCGACTTAACGTGCGCCTACTTCCATATTTCTATCTTCCATGGCCACAGGAGATTCCCCCGTTTGGTGGTGGGGCAGCGCCTCTACTAGTTCACGGCACTGCCCTTCAGCCTCTCCTCTGCTCCAAGGGGCTTCACGAAGTGCATGGTGGTGCTGGCCGCTTCCCTGAGGTGTCGCGGCATTCAAATCTACCCATCCCTGGGGACTGGCTGGTCAGAGGCAGGTCCCAGGCTCACGTGCAGCACATGTCGGGATCTAGGCCTGCATCTCAATGACCAGAAGTTGACTCTGTCCCCCGTTCAGAGAATAGAGTTTATAGGAGCAGTGTTTGACTCCACCCATTCCAGAGCCTACCTGCCGGAGTCCCGGTTCCGGGCATGTCAGAGCCCAGTCGCTCACAGCCACCCAGGTATGCCACCAGCAGCTGGGTCACATGGCGGCGTGTACCGACGTGGTGCAACATGTACGGCTGCAGCTCAGTCTCCAGATGTGGCTGGAGTTGGTCTTCTCACGACCTGGAGCTAATGGTTACAGTTCTGTCGAATGTCCTGTCATCTCTGGCTCGGTGCCCAGCCCCTTCATAGCTTCACTCCCATCGGTAACATTGGTCGGATCGGGGGTGGGGAGCCCAGCTTGGCAGCTGCAGTACCCAAGGTCTCTGGTTCTCTTCACAGAAAGGCCAGGGAGCTCAGAGCGATACGCTCGGCTTGCCATACATTCCTCCCTATCTAAGGGGCAGAGTGGTGCAGATCTTGACGGACAATACAGCAGCAACGTTCTTCAACAAGCAAGACGGGGCCCGCTCGTCTGCCCTGTGTCGAGAGGCTCTTCGCCTGTGGGACTTCTGTGTGCAGCAGGCTGGTCATCTCAAGGCTTCGCACCTCCCGGGCGCCCAGAACGCGCGGGCAGATCTCCTCAGCAGCTACTTCTCCTCTCGCCAAGAGTGGTCACTCCACCCAAAGGTTGTCAGCACGATCTCCCCCAGGTGGGGGACTCCCCAGGTGCACTTATTCGTGGCCACTCAGAACAGGACGTGTCAGCAGTTGTGCTCATTTTACGGGCTAGCCAGTAACTCCCGGTCTGACGTTTTCCTGCGCCCTTGGATGGGGGCCCTGCTGTACGCCTCCCGGCTTTCCTGCGCCCTTGGATGGGGG